GTCGGAGCGAAGGTCTGGAAGAAGTCCACCCCCTCACGCTGACTGAAGCCTCTAGCCATGTAGCGCGCCTTGAACACAGGCGGCTCTCCAGGAGGGCGCTTCACCTTGAAGAGCCAGCGGCCATCGACTACGTTCACCCCAGGCGGGGGAACTGCGTCGACGTAGGTGCCGGTGGATCTCCAAGATGCCATCTCCTGCTCCATGGCAGCTATCCACTGCGAGGCCCAGGGTCCCGAGGTCTCCTCAGGGTAAGTGCGAGGGGTCGGGATGTCGAAAGCGTCTGGGTCACCCTCAGGGACTAGCAGCATGGAACAGAGATGGGGAGCAGCCTCGGAGAGGAAAGCAAGCTCGAACTGGCGGTCTTCCAGGACGTCACTGCCAAGGGCAGGAGCACCCCCGACAGATGGAGGACAGGCAGGGTCAGAGACCAGAGCGGAGGCGTAGTCAAGGCGGCGGGAAGAGGCGAAGTCAGCGACAGCAGCGACAAGGGCGTCAAGGCATGAGGCCGGAACAGACGGGTCGGTAACGAGAGAGGCAAGGACGCGAGGAACAAGGGGACGAGCGGCACGAAGGTAGTCAGACAGCGGGGGGGGTGCAACAACAAGGGAGGACGGAGGAGGCGACGGCAGAAGGGGAGGACGAGACACGTGGGAACGAAGCAACATAGGGTGGGAGCGCAAGACAGGCGAGGCAGGACGAGCACGGGAGGGACGGTGAGACCAGACGTGCGACGGAGGAGTCGGGTCAGGAGACAGGGGAGGGGACACAGGAGGGGAACGAGGGGGGAGACGGGCCGGGGACGAGTCCGGCGGAGGGAAAACAGGGCCGTAGACAGGAAGAGGAGGAGACGGTAGGAGAGGAACAGACGCAGGGTCGGGGGACGGAAGGCCGAGCAGGCGAAGGGCTGACACCGGCGGGGACTGCTGCCGCGGCGGCACAACGGCAACACCTGGACCGCAAGCTGCTCCTCGGCTACCACCGGCACTCTCCACACCAGCACCCCTAGAGGGGCCACCCCCAGGGCGACCGGGACGAGCACCCCCAGAGTCAGCGAACGGGGGCTGCGACGGCGGCGGCGGCGGCGGCAACGACGGCTGCAGCGGCGGCAGAGGCGGTGGAGGAGGGGACTGGGGAGGGGACGCCGGGGGAGGGGCAGCCGGCGAGGACTGCACAGGAGGGCCACCAGAGTCAGAAGACTCCTCAACCGGGTCCTCCGACGGAAGGGGGGTAACGTGGGACACACCAGAGGGGGCGGGACGGGGAGGAGGAGGAGGAGGGGCAGGGACTACCGGGGAAGGAGGAACCAGGAACAGAGGGGGAGTAACCGGGGGACCACGGTGGGGGAAGCGACGGTAGTAGGGGACGGACTCGTCAAAGGTGACGTTACGAGAGTGAAAGAAGCGGTGAGACGGCGGGTGGTAAAAGTGCCAGTCGGACGCGTCAAGGGGAAAACCGAGGAAGACGCAGGGAAGGGTGCGGGCAGTGAGCTTGTCCGTGCCGGAGGCACGGACGTGAGCAAGGCAGCCCCAGACGTGGAACGCAGACGCGTCACCAGGAGACCCAATCCAAAGACGGGTCGGCGAAACCTGCGGCTGCTGAGGGTGCGGCCACAGGTTAAGCTGGTGAGAAGCGTAGCGCACAGCGAACGGCCACAGAAAATGGGGTGCACCGGCATGGATCATGGAGGTGCGAGCCACCTCCATGACCAAACCGATGCGTCGCTCAGCGACCCCATTCTGCTGTGGGGAGTCCGGTAGGGTGAACGTCTGGGTGATGCCCTCCGCACGACAAAAGCGACCAAGGACACCTGAGGCAAACTCGCCACCACGGTCTGAGTGAAGACGCAAGACAGGGTGACCGCGGTGGACACGCGCAGAGACAAGCCAGGGGATGAGAGCGCCAGGCACATCGGCCTTGCGCTCCAGGGGAAAGACTGTGGTGTAACGAGTGAAGTCGTCGACAAGCACAAGGAAGTAGCGCTCTCGACGCGGCCCAGGGACGGGGGCGGGGCCCCAGACGTCCAGGTGCAGGGTCTGCAGCGGCGCGGCGGTAGGGGGAAACGAGGAGGAATGAGGGGCACGGCGAAGCCGACCCTCGACACAAGGCGTGCAAGGGGGGGCGGGGGAGGAGGGAAACGCGGGGAGAGAACCTGGGAGACCAAGGACAAGACCGTGCTGGGACATGTGACGCAGACGCGGGAGTGCAGGGTGACCTAGGCGGTGGTGCCAAAGGAGAGTCGGGTGAGTGAGGGACCGACAGGAGCAGGCAGCAGCAACCTGGGTAGACGCAGCCACCTGAGGGGGCGCTCCAGCCGGGGGGGTCACGGTGTCCAGAGTGAACAGGCCGGACACCGGGTCCCGGGGGAACGTGGACAGGGGGGCACCAGTGGCGGCCTCGGTACAGACAGCATACAGCTCGTGACCAGGGAACGTAGTGGTGACGCCAAGGTCCTGGAGGCAGCCGACACCAACTAGGTTCCTGGAGAACGAGGGGATATGCAGACCTGTAAGAGAGCCCGAAGGAATCGCCGGACAGGGAAGGGTGGTGGAACTGCGGGCGACTACCGGACCGCCAGAGGGGTCAGCGAGAGAAACGGCAGCAGGGACAGGAAGCGGCGTCAGGGTGGTGGAGTCGCGGTTCACCATCCTGCCGCTGGCCAGTGAGTTGGCGGCGGAGGTCGGCAAGCCACGCCTCGAAATCTAGGGGCTGACCTTCAGCGTCGAAGCGCAGCTCTGCCGCCATCAGGAAGAGTCCAGTGCGGTGCAGGACGGTGCAGTGCAGTGCAGTGCGGTACAGTGCGGTGCAGTGCGGTACAGTGCGGTGCAGTGCGGTGCAGTGCGGTGTAGTGCGGTACAGGGCGGTGTAAGGCAGGACAGTGTGGTGCGTGGCGGTACGGTGCAGGGCAGTGCAGGGCGGGGTGGGGGGGAACCGTACCAGTGAGGAGGACGGGGCCGGGGCAGCGGGGCCGGGCAGGAGCGACCGGGCCGGGCGAGGACGACGGGGCCGGGCGGGCGCGACGGGGCCGGGCGGGCGCGACGGGGCCGGGCTGGTGCGACAGGGCCGGGCCGGGGCGACGGGGCCGGGCGAGCGCGACGGGGACGGGCAGGGGCGACGAGGCCGGGCGGGGGCGACAGGGCCGGGCCGGGGCGACGGGGCCGGGCGGGCACGACGGGGCCGGGCTGGTGCGACGGGGCCGGGCAGGGTGCAACAGGGCCGGGCGGGCGCGACGGGGCCGGGCGGCTGCGACGAGGCCGGGCAGGGTGCGACGGGGCCGGGCGGGTGCGACGGGGGGGGCCCAGGAGGGGCGCTGCAGGGGCCCAGGAGGGGCGCGACGGGGCCCAGGAGGGGCGCTACGGGGCCCAGGAGGGGCGCGACGGGGCCCAGGAGGGGCGCTACTGAGCCCAGGAGGGGCGCGACGGGGCCTGGGAGGGGCGCGACGGGGCCCAGGAGGGGCGCTACAGGGCCCAGGAAGGGCGCGACGGGGCCCAGGAGGGGCGCTACGGGGCCTGGGAGGGGCGCGACGGGGCCCAGGAGGGGCGCTACGGGGCCTGGGAGGGGCCTGACGGGACCCAGGAGGGGCGCTACGGGGCCTGGGAGGGGCGCGACGGGGCCCAGGAGGGGTGCTACAGGGCCCAGAAAGGGCGCGACGGGGCCCAGGAGGGGCGCTACGGGGCCCAGGAGGGGCGCTACGGGGCCCAGGAGGGGCGCGACGGGGCCTGGGAGTGGCGCGACGGGGCCCAGGAGGGGCGCGACAAGGCCCCGGAGGGGCGTTACGGGGCCTAGGAGGAGCGCGACGGGGCCCAGGAGGGGCGCTACGGGGCCCAGGAGGGGCGCGACGGGGCCTGGGAGGGGCGCGACGGGGCCCAGGGAGGGGCGCGACGGGTCCAAGGAAGGGGCGCGACGGGGCTAGGGGGGGGTCGCGACGGGGCTAGGGGGGCGAGGGGAAGCGGTAGGTGGGGGGGGGGGGGGATCCTACCTACGCGTGATACCATATCAAAATTGAACAAGTGAATGATAGAGTGAGAGTACACACAACTATACCTAAGTGTTGTACCCTCTAAGAGGCGACCCTATACAGTCTATACAAGCATGACAAATACACATGTTTGACACTTTCGCCATTCCTCCATTCAGCAAGCTCGACCAGAATTTGTTTCGACGCACTTTTCTTGTTCAGGCTTGAACTCAAAGCTGCCTTCCATTCTATACTTAGACGGATTTCAAAGCACCAAATTCAAGTGGTTTCCAGGTCTGCTATTTTAGCCGCGGGCTTTAACTCAGTGGTTAGTGGCTGGGTTCTGACATGCTATGAGAGCGTTGGTGACTCGGGTTCAATTCCCAGTGCTAGTGCTGCAGAGGCGCTCTTGTCCTCCGCCCATCCCAGCGAGGGGGGGTGTCGAGAGACTTGCTGGGGTTACCCTTGAGAAGATCCTCGGGGAAGGGCCACAGGTGCAGAGCTTGGGGGGCTATGGGCGCACTGACCACGCCTTTAATAAGCCCTTTTAACATAGTGGTTAGTGATTGATGTTTTACAGCGTTGATATGACAATCCTCAATGCACAGTGAGAACACCTCATTAAGCAGATTTATAAGTGATATAATATGGTATATCTTAAAAGGGGAGATCTAAAAGGAAGGGCGGATATAAATTGGGAGTTTGGGATAGGGTATGCCCCTCTACAATATGCTCAAACCACGCCCTTGGAAAATGGTCATTCATCCATAACAACTGATTTTTTTTTTCATCCATACAAATGTCAGCTTCTCTTGTTAGACCCCCTTTGTATACATTTCATTTTATTGAGCTCATTTAGCTTGCAGAATTCTACTTCTGTTTCTAGTTCATGCTAGTGCTTAAGAATAATCCCATTGTTACGCGAACTTTCGTGATCCGTCGCACAGGCTTTTCGCCTGCAAAAACCAACTGCTGTAGCATTCGGATCTCGTACTTCCGCCACATCAATTTCCCTCAGCTGAAGACCCAAAGGATTCCAGACCGG